CTCAGGCCTTCACCACATTATTGTCTGTGTCCATTCATTATGCATATATGCATATAAATTCTTTGGTTAATCTCTTCCCACCTCCCCCTCCCCCCAAGATGCATCCATGCCTCTGGACTTATTTTGTCAGTTTACTTTGTTCATTATGTTCCACAAATAAGTGAGATCATGTGATATTTGTTTTTCTCTGACTGGCTTATTTCACTTAGCATAATGCTCTCCAGGTCCCTCCATTTCATCTTAAAGGGTAAGAGATCTTTCTTTCTTACAGCTGCATTATATTCCATTGTGTATATGTACTACAGCTTTTTTATCCACTCATCTACTGATGGACACTTGGGCTGTTTCCAGATCTTAGCTATTGTAAATAACACTGCTATGAACACAGTGGTGCATATATTCTTCTGATCGGTGCCTCAGGGTTCTTTGGATATATTCCCAGAATATTGATGGAGAATATAGTATAATCCCCCAGTATTTACCTGTGATCTTGGACAAGTTATTTAATATCTTGTACGTCATTTCCCCCATGGTCACAATAATTGTAATATCTACCTTATGGATTATTGGAAAGATTAAAATTGATAATACATGTGAAGCACTTACAATACAACTTGTCAAACATTTCTCTATTTTACTATGTAGTCTTCAGAACCATACTTTTTAATGGTTACATCACATTTTATAGAATTGACATACAAATATTACTTATCTGGTCTCCTACTTTTGAACATATAAATTGCTTCTAATTCTCCATGATTATAGACACCCTTGTGGTGAGCAAATTAATACTTATGGTCTTTTCTATATTTAAGATTATGCAGTAGAACAAAGCAGCACTGGTAGGGCTATTGGATAAAATGCATAATTGAGTTATGGTTTTTGATTTAAACTGTTAAACTGTGCTCTAGAGAAAACGATTTCAGTGCTATAGAGATTTTCCCCCCCAAACAGAAATGAGCCAATGAAGAAAGCAATGAAAAGTATGTGTGTGTGTGTGTAATTGTTTGTACACATACATAGGGGTGGGGTGGGGAGATGGATGTAGAAAATATAATTTCCCAAGATACTTCTTGACCACAGAGGTTAACCTTAGAATTTAGAAAAAGTACTTTATCATTTGACCAGGTAAGAAAATAAAATGAGCGGAGATCTAGAGAAATTTTGAAGCAGGAGAGGGAACTTGCGGAAACACAAGCCAGCTGTCTTAACTCTTCCAAGTTAACCAGAAGGCAAGGTTTCCTTCTGAGACAGACTGAAGGGCACAGGCTAGGAGTTTAAGGAGAGAGGAAAAGGCTGAGACTGTGGCCACAGAGGTCAGTCAGAGCACTCTAATGCCACTTACTGCTACTAACTTCCAAGCTCTGAATTATCTGTAGTCTCTTGGTCTCTGCTGGTCACGACAGCCTTGAGGGTGAAAGGACCAAGGGGAAAGTGCCCAGACAGTTCCCACTTGAGAGATTCCGAGTGTGCAAGATGCTTTAGGTCTACAGTGTGTTCTCCTCTTTGGCTGTGTTGGGGGCTGGTGAGATCACTGTGGAATTATTACTCACTGTCTTTAGTTACTCTCCTCTCATTTTCTCTGGAAAAGAGCTTTTGCTCTCATCTCTCCGCCACAATTGCTTTCATAAAGTTCTCCAGTTTGCTAAATCTAATAATGGTCAAATTCAGTCTTCTACTTGATCCATCATCTGACCTCTCTCTCCAACTCGAAATACGTGGTTCACTTAGCTTCCATGACAACAAACTCACCTCATTTTTCTTCTACTTTGCTGGTTGCTCCTTCTTAAGTCTTTTCTACTGGTACCTCCTCATCTCCCCATCCTCTACATGTTGGCATGCCTCAAGTCCCCAAGGCCACTTCTCTTTTCTGTCCACACTGCTCCCTTGGTTGCTCATCCAGTATACTGGCTTTAAACAGCCTCTATTTGCTGACTCCCGCACCGTATCTCCAGCCAGGGTATCCTCCCTAAACTCTAGGCCCAGAAATCCAGTTGCCTCCCTCCTCTTCGATATCTGAGGGGCAGTTCAATCGTAACATGTCCAAAACTGAACCCATGATAATATCTCCCAAATGTCTGTTTTCTCCATTTCAGTAAATTGGCAAAACGCATCTTGTAGTTGTTTAGGCCAAAAATGTTGGACTTTCTTTGACTCCTCTGTCACCTTCATACCCCACAGGGAATGTCAGGAAATTCTGTCAATTCTACCTCCAAAAAGTATCCAGAACCCACCTACTAACTCATGACGACTGCAACGTACTACTCCAGGAGGAATCATTCCCATTTTAGTTGATGTGAACAGTGCTCCTTGAAGTAGTGCACTGCACAGCCTGCAAGGCAATGTGTGCCTGTTCAGGTGTCACTTGAGTTCAAACCACCATCATCTCAAACGTAGACGATTGCAATAGCTTTCTACGTTGGTTTCCTTGCTTCTGCCCACTTACTGTCTATTCTCAAGGCAGTAGTCAAATTTCAGTAAGCCAGATCACCTTTTTACCTAGGCCTTCAAGTGGATTCTCACCTCACCTAGAGTAGAGGCAACCCTTACCATGACCCCGAGGCCTTAATCAGCCCTCTCTTGTTACCTCTCACACACTCTGCTTGTCCTCTTTCAGCCACAAGGGTGTTTTTGTGGTTTCTTGAACATGCCAGATAAATTACTGCCTCAGGGTCTTTGCCATCTGCCATTATATAAGTATGCACTTCTATGGCTTGCTTCCTCTAGGTCTTGATACTCAAATGTCAGGTTCTTGGGATGTCGTCTCTGACTGTGCTATTTAAAAGTGCATCCCTTGCCCCCTCACAATTCCTGTCCCCATTTCCTGCTTTATTTTTCTTTCCAGTAGTTATCACTATCTAATCTATCCTACGTTTTACTTATTTTTCTTGATTATTGTCTGTTTCACCTATTAGAATGTAGGGCTCCCTGAGGGCAGCAATTTTGGCCGCTTTGCTCACTTCTGTACCCCCGGGATATGTCCTGGCACATGGAAGGGATGCAGTTATGTACAATACTTTTTCCACCCAGCTATAGAAACAAGTGTTTAGCCAGGGTACCAAGAATTTGATGTGGAGGAGAAAAAGATTTTGAAGGAAGCTGAATCAAGTAAAATTAGGAGATTAAAAATAGTGTGAAGTTAAAATGCACAACTTAACTTTCAGGATGTAGTCTAAATACCAGTCATTGTGATGTTCTCCGGCTCTTAACTTTGTAGTTACTTATGAAAATTAGATTTAAAAATTCATGGAATACGAGAGTTAGGAAAGATATCAGAGAACATCTTCACTTTATAGATGAGGAAAGTTCTCCTAAGTGGTGTTGGCGGGATTTTAAATTATTCACTGCAACAAAAACACGCTCCACTTTGCTCATTTATTTTAACATGTGACACACACAGGCCTGGAATGTGGAAATTGGCAACGACAGTGGGGCAGGTCCTTTCACATGAATACGAACAACATGCAATCAGGTTTTCCCATCCACATGTTTTTAAACAAAGACTATGTCTATAGTTTTTATCCATCAAACACATATTCGAAGGAATAAATGCACGTTTCCACTTTTATCAGCTATTACAACCTAGGTAACTTAAGACACTATTTCCGGTGGAAAAAAAATATTAATGGGTTCAGTTCAGTAAAATGAGATTCAAACAGAGAAGAACATTCTTTTCAAAGAAGCCAAGAGTAAGACTTTTAGTCACAGTGATCATCATTGGCAGATAAGCAAATCATGGGTCAAACCAAGAGCTAATGAAGTTAGTATGACCTAAATTTTTTTTTTTACTTTTCCCCCAAATAGAAATTAAGTTAATATTAAGTCACATTTATTGTGTAATGGTTCCAGGGCTTATACTTGTTATTTGGAGAGCGGTGTCAGACACGGTCTGAGGTACACAACTGCTCTCTGTCCATCCCCGCCGATCGGTTTACTTCCAGAAGCACAGTATCAAGACATCTGGGGAAGGTAGAATACACATACTTTCCCTAGATTTGCAGTTATGTATCTTTTATTTTGGGAAAAATTGGGAATCTTCTGTGAGCATTTGTGGAAAAGGACCATGAAAAAAATAGGTGGCCGATAAGCTTTGCTAAATGTATGGAGTTAAACTTGTGTACCCAGCACGGAACTAACCACTGGTCGAAGATAAAGTGGATCAGAGGAGTTACACATAGAACAGCAGGAATGTACATTACCTATTTTTATTGTTCATGTTATGTTTAAAAAAAAATCTATCTTCACTTTATATTTTTTCGGTGAAATTTTTTAAAACTAAAGAGAATTCGAAGACAAACTTTGGTTCTCACTTTTCAGAGAAACTGAAGCGTACACAAAATAGGATGTATATTAATTGTTAAACCAAATAATTATTTAGTTATTGACTGAAATCACTGGTAACTACTTATATATCAAATTAACGATCCAGAATTCAGGTCTGAGGTAACTGTGTAGGAGATTAGTTGTTTTGTGTTTCTGATTAATTTGGAAGAAAATACTTGATAGAAAATAGATTTGAAAATAAATTTCTGAACAAAGATAGTTGATCCTCTTTCTCTTTGTGTTTTTCGTTCACCTTGCTCTAAGTTCATTCATTAAAAATTGTTTTCTACATATTCATATAGACAAGAACAAATAGAATAGGGAAAAACAAGGACAAAAGCACATTACTGATAATTTTGTTTCAAAAATAAAATTTAAAAATGCTCAAAAGAATAAGACAAAAATCAGACCAATTTGAATAATACGGAACTCAAAGTGGTTCTCTCTCTGGCTCCTTTGGCAGAATATAATCTTCCTCAGCCTTGATTTTTATATTTATAAAAATGAAATACAAGTGTGTATAGTCAGTAGCTCTAAGTTTTCTTTCAGAAATCATATTTTATGATTCTGTGAAACTCAAGATTGAAATTGTTATTTATTTTTTACAAAGCAAGGAAAAGAGATGTGCTATTTCCTAATTGGCCATAAGTAAAATCTTTACAAAATTATTCACTTACCACAAGATCATCTTGATTTTCATTGAGATCAGAAAGTTTGGAACTGGGTTTCTGACGTTTAGGTTTGCTCCTTTCTCCAATATAACCAGAAGCATTTTCATGTAAACTTTCCATGTCCTGAGCATTCAGAATACAATCATCAGGGTTGGTGAACCCAGAAGGAATATTTTCTTTGTTGATAAGTCCCCTAGAGTTGAAAGAAGGCAAAAGGGACATTTTAACAATACTGCCACTGCGTCACAGGAGTCAGAAGAGTGCCTAGAAATCCCAATTTGCATCTTTGATCAAAATCTGAGCAGAGTGCTACTCCTGAGACCTCTTGGTGCCAAATAAATCACATTAAAAGAGAAATTATTCCTAGAGGCAAGTTGGCAAGGGCTGTGTTTCTAGCAATGAACAACTTTTGTTATTTGTACCAAAAGTAATTTGTATTCAAACAGGAAGACTGTGCAAACTAACAAAATAATTGTTCCCTTTCTCATGTGTGCATGCGCGTGCACACAGACACACACCCACACACACACACACACACCTTATATATCAATACAATGTATGGAGAAAATCAGAAAAGGACATATGTTTCTCTAGAATGGGACGTACTGATTTTCCCAAATGATAAAGAAATTTTGGCACAGTAGAAATGCATTCATATCTAAAGCTGACTGTGTTAGATAATCTTGGTAGAAATAGTTTAATAAAAACCGTGGAATACAAAGCATTGTTAACTATAGATTTGTTACTTCCCAGTGCAAGGAGTTCCAGGATGTAAGTTTATAACTGGAGGTCCTTCATGACTTAGTTTTAGAATAGATATGAATGTCATAATTAAAGAATTTAATTCATTGAATGTTCTTGAAATAGTTTAAAGAATTTTGAACATTCCCTTTTAAGAGGTCTTCACAAAATTAAATTGCTTAGCAAAATGCTTGCCTTGTACTCCATCACAGAGCAAATGAAGACATCAGTGCAGCATCACGCTGGGTAAGGTCCAAATGAGTGGGCTTTTATTCTCTCCATGGTGCGACCCTAAAGGTACCTCCCTGAACACCTAAAGCTGTATCTTAAAATAAAAAAGCTTTAAAGAGTAAAAACAGATGACTGTATTTTACTCTCAGTTCAACCATATCCAAAAATGAAAGATAACAGTAAATATTTATTCTGCAATCTAAATTCATATTCTGTCTTAGATGGGCTATAATTGAACAAAATTATGAATTAATATTATAATATGTTCAAAGCTATACTATCTTTGGTGATTTTTAATATTCCATATGCAAAAATGTACAGATTTGGTAAAAGTATATAAAAGATGTGTGCAATATTGATAAGAAAAATCCTACTACAAAGTAACTGAAGAGACCAGGAAAAGCTGACAGGGACTAGCACGCCCACACATCTCGCTCATTCTGCAGCCTCTGCCCTCCCTGCACCCAGAGCACTGCCTCCTGTGGGTGGCTGGATGAGTTTGTTCCGAAATTCAAAACTGTTTTACGATTTGAATTCTGTCTTCTTGTCATTCTTCATATTTTCCCTAGCTCTAATTATAATTTTTAAATGGAGGAGTTTTACGTTTTAAAGCTGTTACAGACTAAACTATGTTCCTCAAATTCATATGTTGAAGGCCTAATCCCCAGGGGACTGTCTTTAGAGATAGGGTCTTTAAGGAAGTAAAGTCAAGGTTACATGAGGTCACAACAGTGGGGGCTCCATCCAACAGAACAGGTGTCCTTATGAGAAGAGGGAGAAATGCCAGGAGAGCATACACAGAGAAGAAAGGCCATATGAGGACAGTCAGAAGGCACCGTCTGCAAGTCAAGGAGAGAGGTCTCATCAAAACCACCCCCACCAGCACCTTGATCTTAGACTTCCAGACTCTCAGAACGGTGAGGAAATAAAGTCTGTTGTTTAAGCCCCCAGTCTGTGGTACTCTATTAGGGCAGCCCTAGCAGACTAATACAAAAGCTGAAAATTATTTTTAGAAATTAAAAAAACAAGTTTATTTTATAAGCTTTTGAATAGTGAATGAATGGCTGGAATGAATCCTATCCAAATAAAGATATGACAATCTGATTGTGCAGTTGTGCTCATGTGGAAATCCTGTTCCCCTCAAAGGAAAGTCTTTGCTGTTGTGTGAGTCAACGCCTCTCACCCAGGACCTGAGTGCGAGTGAGGAGGGCCGGTCCACGACTCCTTCTGGCAACATTCTGACAGATTTCAATCACACTTGACATCACTTACCTTTGACTTGAATTAGATCTCCACGGCCTCTCACTTTCAGAATTCCCTTCTCATCCCTACGTGCACATTTAATGTTCTAGCAATACTGAACCATTCGTTACTTCCCTAATATAGTTTTTTTTTTTTTCACCTTGCAGTAGGAATTCAATATAATATTTTTTCCAGTTCATTGTGTTTTGGAAATTAAAACCATTTTCACTTAAATAATGCTTTGCTTTTTAGAAAATATTATGAAATTTCCAAACATATAGAAAAATAAACTATTGCAATGAACTTCCATATACCCATCACCAAGATTCAACAATATTTCCATGTACCCAGCAGATGGTAAAATTTTAAACTCTACCCTTTCATATAATAAATATATTGCTTAAGTTTTTACATTTTTATTGCAGTGAATAATAATATATGACTAATAATGTTTCCATATGAATTTAGATGAATAAGAAATTATGTGCACTAAAATGAAGTATTTATCAAACTTCTGTATTGCTTATTTCAAAAACCTGCCATGATGATTTTAGTATAGACTTTATTGACTTTTTATTTTTTTTATTACTATTATTTTTTTAATCCTCACCCGAGGACATTTTTCCATTTTTTGTTCAGGTAGAGTGGGAGGAAGAGAGAGGACCAGAGAGAGAGAGAGAGAGAAACATCGATGCGAAAGGGACACATCGAATGGCTGCCACCCGCACGACTGACCAGGGCCGGGGACAAACTGCAACCGAGGTACATGCCCTAAGTGGGAACCGAACCCAGGTCTCTCAGGACCGCAGGCTGACGCTTTAACCGCTGAGCCAAACCGGCCAGGGCTTATTGACTTTTTAATATCATCTCAAAATATGGTCACCATTGACTTCAAGGATTAAAAAATATATATATGGCTGCAGTTCTAAGTTGTTAGAGGCAAAATGATAGACATTAATTCAATAAAATTTCTATTTTCAAAACATTTTTAACTGTTCCATAGGGCTAATAGTTTTGAACAGAATAAACTGTAAAGTCTAGCTTAATCTTCCCTTATTTTTCAAGCAAAGCAATATGCAAATATTAGAAAAATGAGTCAATTTCAGATAAGCATATGTTGAGAAAAACATACTATAAGCTGTATTAATAATGATTCTCAACCTTCTCACACTTGATGCCATGTTAGTGTATCTCCTGGGGACATATGAGAGGACCCCAGAAAAAGTAGTAGGTCTGGGCCCTGCAAAATATGGGCCTTGCTTTCCAAAGATCTGGAGAGCTCAGAGAAGCGGTTCAGGACAGGCTAGGAGTTGAAGAAGGACTATCAAAACATGATGGTGTCCTGGCCAGTTTTGCTCAGCGGTTAGAGCATCAAACCAGAGAGACCCGGGTTCGGTTCCCGCTAAGAGCATGTACCTCGGTTGCAGTTTGTCCCCGGCCCCGGTTGGGATCGTGTGGGTGGCAACCAGTTGATGTGCCTCTCTCATGTTGATGTTTCTCTTTCTCTCTTCCTCCCTCTCTCCCTCCCGCTCTGTTTGAAGATAAATGCAAAAATGTCCTCGGGTGAGGCTAAAAACAAACAAAAAACATGATGGTGACCCAGATCAGCTTAGGAGAGGGCCTCGTGACTAGGCGGGAATGAAGAGGACTTCTGAATGTCCGGGCCACATACTAAAGAAAAAGAGTGAGGTGAGACGGTTTGTAAGTTACTGAGCTATGTACGATTTGTACCCCAGGATTCTCCCACTCAATTCACAGCTGTGGTCTGACCACAGGTGACTAGAATGAGTGGTGAAAGGAATACCAGAGAAGAAGAATTAAGGGAAAAGCTCGAGTTTCATAGGTGTTTAGACAGGTCAGTCTCTAACATTCTCCATCTCCTTCAGCTCCCCTGATGTTGACAGTAAAATATAACCCAGGTAACTCATCCTAGAAGCATCCCTGGACTGGAAACGACATGTACAATCTGCAGGGGAGGTTACCGTGTGTCTCCTATGCTCTCCTTGCCTAGCTCCTGTTTGTTTCTGACCTTACCCACTGCGTCCTCCCGTCGGCTGCCAGGCACCCACCACCGCCACCGGGCGTTTCTCCGGCCTCACTACCACTTCCAGCCAAACAAGAGGGCGGGTGGAAAGCATGATGTCGTGACACACTAAGGATATTTTAAAAATGCAAAGTGCAGCTGCAAACTGTTTGGCAAAAAATGAGGCAGGGGATAAGAACAGTGTTAAATGAATAATCTGTCCTTGCTGTATAACACAAGATAAGAGGTTCACAAACTAATCATACTCCTAAACACTTCCTATAAAGCTTAGTCAGTAGCTAATTTTAAATGTAAATGTTTCCTGTATCATAATTTCATTTTCTAAAGGGAATATTATAGCACACCCTCCTTTCCACCAACTCTAAGACGAATGTTTTTTAAAAAAGTGCTGGTTAGCTAAAACTACTGTTATTATATCACAGTGTATGCAAATCAAACCATCATGCTTTATGCCTTAAAGTTGTACATTGCTATGTCAATTATTACTTAGTAAAAATGAAAAAAAAAAAGGGTACAGTTTATGTCATTTGAAAAGTCAGTGGGTTATACTATCCACTGACACTGTTTTACTTCTAAAATTACATTTGTTAACATAGCCTGAAAATGATGCTCAGTATGGAGTTTACTTGTACTACTTATGCTCTGTGTCTTTCTTTAAGCAAAAAGAAGTGTTTCTTTTTTTTTTTTTAAGTAAAGATTTTGATGGAGATTATGAGTCAAGGTAAGAAAGAAAGATGGGAACTAGGGTCTAGTTTTGTCTTTGACATTTAATAATAAGTTCAAAACAATAACTTTATAGAGCCTAAATGCTACAGTACATAAAAATATTAAAACTTTGGGGAAAACATATGTATATAGTCTATTATATATATATATATTTTATGTGACAACTTAAATCATATTGATTATTCAATAATTGTTCATTTGTATTGATCAAACCTTTTTAAAAATATATATTTTTATTGATTTTTAGAGAGAGAGAGGAAGGGAGAGAGACAGAGAAATATCAGTTGGTTGCCTCCTGTATGCACCCCAATTGGGGATCAAACCTGCAACCTAGGCATGTGCCCTGACTGGGGATCATTCTGGTGATCTTTTGGTGCACAGGACCACACTCAACCAACTGAGCCACATGGGCCAGGGCAAACCTTTTAATGGAGAATAAAGTTTCCTGTAATACTCTTCTTGAAATTCATGCTGTGAGAAGGCCCTAAAATTAGTCATTATAATAAAAAAACTCAAGTACTTCCACTTTGAATTAGACTTAAGCTCAACCTTTCTAATACTAAACCACAATCAATGGTCAGACTATTAGAGAGATATTCTAGTATTTAATTAGGTCAATATAGTAGAAAAATCTGCTGGTTCATAAGCTAGTCTAACAGCCAACTGAACGTCTCAGAAGAGAAAACCACCTTTGGAGAGGCACAGAGCAAATCACTGCTACAATTTTTCAGGACCCCTAGAAATAAGATATTCAGGAGGAAGCCATGGAATGTATTACAGCAGAGGTGGCTTCCTACAACATGAAACATTGAGACAAAACTGAAATGCTTCTTCAACCACCTCTGAATTTCCAAATGTTAGCTAAGTTTAGAACGGTCAAAATGAAAACTTTAAAAAGTTTTAACCTAAATACTGAAATGGGAGTCAGGGGTGTGTGTGTGTGTGTGTGTGTGTGTGTGTGTTTAGTAATAATAAAATATTCATTGAATGTTAACTAAGAACAAAGCATTATTTTAAATACTCTTACATAAATTATTTCCTTTCAGCTGTATATTTTTAACAGAAGAAGAGAAAACACAAACAAGAATCAGCAACACCAACTCACACGTCCCTGCCACGTGGAACTTCATCCTGCTCTTTGGACTGGCGGCGGCGCTGTCTGGCCGATGCAGTGGAGGGAGCTGGGGATCCAGATTCTGAGTCCTCTGAGCTTTGGCCTCCAGAGCTATTCACATCAAAAAGATGCTGTTCTACAGCCGACCGGATGGTTCTTTCTAAGAGTCTAGTTTAAAAACAAAAACAAAAAGAGGGATTCAAACAATCAGGTTTATCAATGATCACTGTGGAAAGTAGGTGCCCATAACTATGAACACATTGGTGTTCTAAGGGAAGAGCTACTACAACGTCCAGAGTGAAGACAGGGTGTGAAGCATTCATCTCAGGAACACTGGCATTGTGCATTACAAACTACACTAAACTGAACAAATTCCACTAATTTGATAACTGCGTCACTCCTTTTTGTGAGTCCAGGCTCACTGAAATGCTCACAGCAGGTCTAGCAGCAGAGGCATTCAGGAAACAAGGGTCATTTAATATAAGGCAGAATGAGGAAACATTTTTTCCTCATAGAATAATAATGGACCTATTCTTGCCAAGGTGAGCTCTTTAAGATTTCATACCAGTTCTGCAGAGGAGGAGAGCGTGATTTACAAAGCAAACTGGCACAAATAACTTTATGATGCCTATTATCTATTTAAAATTCCTTTAAGACAAAATTATGTAGGGAGTAAAGGTATTAAAAATGAATACCTCACCATGACAATTACTACTCATAAGAGAATGGCAACATTTTTCTGAACCTATTCAATTAAATTGTGATGCATATAATTGAAGTTGTATTCATACAAACACCCCAATATGTATCACTGAAGACAGAAAAACAGATTTTTTTTTCAATCTGAGAAAAACAGTGAGGCACAGGGGCTGAAAAGAGCGAATGATAAGATAAGGTATCATTTTTAAACCTACATAATCTTTCAATGTGTCTAAACTTTTCATCATCCCATTCTTTCTAAATAAGCTGACATTAAAAATTCTAAACGTATATTCCTCCAAACACCTGAAAAAAGAATCCTATCCAAATTCATCAAACTGTGCACATTAAATGTGTGTAGTTATGGATATCAATTATATCTCAATAAAGCTGCTTAAATTAAATACGTTTTTAAAGATTCAGATTGAAAAATATATTCATTCTAATAAAATGAATTTTGAAAAATTTAGGAACTTTAGATTTTCCAAGTATAGTTTTATATGAGACTCGTAATAATTTCATTTAAACTATTTGAAGACAATGAGCAAGTATAGTCTAACTTGGGCATTAGAACTTTTATGTTTAGAACTCCACATCCCAATGATTCAAGATGACCAGTACATAGGAATGTGTACATTAATATATGCATATAGACCAACCCCACACCTTTTCCAAACTATAGAAGACACACAAGAATAAAAGGTTATTAGAAAACAAACAGGCAAGAACATGTCAATCTTAGTATAATTCTAGAATCTCTTTAAAATTCACAAAGGTAAGAGAGGTCAATCCTGCCCTTTAATTTGATAGCTTCCTTACCTAACCAAAAAGGAAAAAAAAAATCTAAATGTATCCTATTAAATCCAAATTCATACCAATCAATACTTCTAATTCTTCTCTCTTCCTCCTTACCACATTATATCTTCCTCTCTTCCTCTAACTGATCCCCGCTGATGGAAGGCCCACCCATGTCCCCGCAAAAAAAGAAAGAGAGGTGGGTACAATGGGAAGTCTTTGGGCAAGGGACTACTTACAAACATTTAGTGATTCGTCTACACCAGACATTTTTCTAGGTGTTAGGAATACAGCCATGAAAATGACAGAGTATATACATCCCTATGAGGTGCGACAGATAACAAACAGATCATGACATTTCAGATAGTGATACATTTTCTACAAAACAGACAGGGTTGGGGATGACTTCTTGAATACGACGGCACTTGAACAAAGAGGTGAATGGTAAGAAAGTGTGTGGCCAGGCTGAGGAACAGCTAGTGCAAGGGCCCTGAGGCAGCTCTATGCTGGACCTCTTTCAGAAGCAGACGGTCATATGCTTGCAGCATAAGGAACAGTGTGGCTGGACAGGTAGGCGAGGGCAGATGACTGCAGTTCAGATTTCAGTCAAAGTGCAACTGGTAGCCTTAGGAGGAAAAAGACATGGGATGGACAGAATTACCAGGCACTGCTGCTGCCCTGCGGAAAAAAAGATGTGAGGCCATAACTAATATGCTTCCTTTTCCACGTCCCTATTAGACTGAAGGCTGAGCCCAGGCTTGTTTGACATCGCATCGCTACACTGCACTCGGCATATGGCAGGCAGGCGATACAGGTAGGCTGACTAAAATTAACAAAGGAAGAAGCAAAGGCACGGTTAATACCTTAACCTTTAATGGCATTCTCCATTGCAAGGTACCTCCCAAAGCACGCAGATTGCTTTGCAAATATTGACTCGACATTATTTAGACAGAAGTAAATACAAATCTCATGTGTTGAAAGGGTAGAGCTGTCTCTAGTTACACACCGACACTGAAGCTCAAACGAGAACACTTTTTACTTAGGGCTCTCCTCTGTGTCGTTTTCAAAATCATTTGCTTGCTTATTGTATTACTCTTCCAATAGTATCCAACATCAGAAGTGCTTTTTCTTCCTCTTTAGTAAGTGGGTAAGGAGAGGGGGGAGAACCCAGTTCAAGTAACTTACTCTCCTGTTGCCGAAGCGCTGCCGACTTGGGATACACGGGCACTGGGGAAAGAAGCAAAGAGGAAGAAAACAGATTAGACGCAGGGATGCTGATTTTCACTTGTTTCTAGAATTAGGGAAAGCCCTGGGTATTTATCCCTGAAGAGTGTTGTTTTTAAAAAAATCCATTTTAAAGATGTCCATGACAAGACAATTTTACAAGTGACCTTTGAAAACTCTCTCTACCTCTCGCCCTCCTGCCATGGTCTTCTTATTTTTCCCCAAACGTTGATGTAATTACTGCTGATCGCCTTCCTGCTACCAACTCTCCCCATTCCCTGCTCTCCCCAGCCCCAGTCTGGCCCCTCCTTGCCCACCCCTTCCAGCCCTGCAGACAGAAGCATCTTTCTAAAGCTGCTCTGGACCTGCAGAGAGCAGCAAGGACCATAGAGAACAGAGGACAAGGACCTAGCATCGTTTTCTACACGACTACTGCTAAACCACTTTTCTAAGCCACTTTCCTTCCTAGATCCCTCAAGACAGGAAATACATCAAGCTTCATGTTTTATCTCAACACCGATTCACAGCTCTTTCATTGAACATTTCTAAACTCCCTCTACCTTCCCATTTTCTCTAAAGCCTGAATTCCTTTGAAAGTGTTAAAAAGTAGTCAATGGAGAGTGGAATGGTGAAATTACAGAACACGATTTGATGAGCACCCTTCATGACTTCGCCCCGTTGCCGGCATTCTATGTTCATATAACCACAGTGAGGGGGTGAGGCTGGCAGCTATTTTAACGGTTTCAATATCACCACATTCACATTCTGCCCTTTAGGGTGTGGACAACTTCTAAATCAAGACTCAAGAGTATCTATGCTTAAAAAAAGAGATGAAAAAATCTTTAGTGCATGTCAAACTATAATTTTGCCTAATAGATCTGTTCTCTCCTTTTCTTCCTTCTTTGGAGAAGACGCCTAAAGTTAATGACCAATCTTGATGGTTGCCTTTCAATTCCTCTGAACATCCTGATTTTCATGGTATAATTTTCAACATATGAACATGTTGCTTTGGAATCACCTGTTGGGTTTTTCTTGCATGTATGTGTGTATCCCACCTCCTGTAACTCAGAACCTCAGTGCCTCAGGGGACTGTGATATTTCTCATTTTCTTCCATTAGACTCCCTACCACCACCACCACCACCACCACCACAATACCCAGCATAGTACTCATTATCTCAGACGTGATCAACAGACACTCTCTCTAGCTCCAGAGAATTCCCTTTGTTAAAGCTGCAGCTCTTTATCATTGCCATAGACCATAATCAAATCCCAGAAAACCCACCTAAAATAATGCTGTTGTGCATAAGGAAAACTGATGAGAAGAATCTCAATTAACAAATGAATTAATGAACAAACATACAGATAAATACACCTTAACACTTACCGAGTATTTACTATGATTCAGATGCTGTACTGAGTATTTTAACAAAGATTTTCTCATTTACTTTTTACAATAACCCCATGAGGTAGGTTCTATTGTTTTCTTTTCCCTATTTTCGGATGAAGAGGTTAGAGAGGTAAAGTAACTTGCCTACAGTCATGAGCCAAGAATTAAATGAGTTAGGATTTGAACCATGAGCATTTTAGCTCAGAGTCTGAGCTCTTAATCACTACACTAGTCTTTTAATCACTCCCTCACTAGAAGAAAAACTCACCAGAGTCATCCTTGTACATGGAGCCCTGCACTTAGGTATCTTACTTTGCTTTTCATCACAACCATTTCTCCTCTGCCTCACAATGCCTGTTATTCACTGTGGCACCCAGGTTATATAACCAGCAACAAATCCTTTGCTGGTCTGTCCTTAACTGGAACAGACAGTCCCTGCTTTTGATGCTTTGTGGCTCACCCTCTGTAAATTCAACACTGTATAATTAACTCCTCCACTCCACTCTCAAGGCAGTTATACAACTTGCTTTTGGGGGCAGGGACCAATGTGAATAATGACTGGGGGAAACCAGAAGAGGAAAAAGAATGTAGACCTGCTAGATGCTAAAAACATTCCAAAGACGTATAAGCACAATTAGCCAGTGAGTCCCCCAAGCCATCTCAGAATGAAGAGAGATCTCTCCTTCCTGCTACACACTTTTGACGTGAATGTCTTTTTGCTTATTAGAGCACACACTGATATTTTTATGCTCCCTTTTAGGGGGTGGGGGTGAGGTTGGGGATGAAAAAAGAAAGGCAGAAAGAAAGAGACAAGAAATGACAACCAACAGGACCTGGTTCTGAGATGACCAACTCTCTAAGTAAGTGCTTCTCAAACTCCAATGTGCACCAGAATCATTCATACAGTCTCAGGTTCAGCAGGTCCAGGTCTAGGGAAAGGAAAGCTGAGGTTCTGCATTTCTAACACACTCCCCAGTGATTCTGATTCTGTCGATTTGTGGAAGACACCGATTAGCAGGGCTCTAAATGCCTGCAACTAAAAATTCTTCAAGGTTTCAATTCCTTAAGCACCACAATGGCTATTTTAAAACATTCTAATCTAAGTAATGAAGGTATGGTTTGGGAAATTTATGCTCACCTGAGTGAATAAAAGCACCACATAAAACTCCCTTCATAACGTAAAAAAAACTACCTGAATCATCTAAATAACTCTTAAAAAGTCTTTCTCAGAATGCAAAATAAATGAATAAATGAATAATGAAATCAAATAATTAAATCATGTTTATTTTTACTAGCATATTGATCTTAGGTCAAATTTATGACAAATTTATATTCAATTATTTCTTTAATAAGTTTTGGAATTTTTGCATACTTAATGTGCCCATACTTTCATATTTTTTCTAATAGAATTTCTCTAAAGAAAGTATTCTGAGAACATTTTCCATTGGGAATCAGAAAAGAGAAGTTTTGGTCTTAGTTCTGTAATTCATTAGCTGAAATCATAGCTTGGCTGCATTGGATTGGTTTCTTCATACAGAAAATGAAAGGCTTGGCTAGTGATCTCTGAGGTTTTCTTTGAGCTCTAAAAGTTTATTGGCCGACAGTTTAAATCATTACAAAAGGTCATAATTGAGTATTTAGTTTTATGACACAGTGTCAGTCACAGTTGTAGTTTATTAGAACCAAAGTGGCTTTGGCCAGGTACCCTTCCACCTCCCTCGTTCCTGCGGGACGTGCTTAACAATTCACTGATACGATTCCTCAGAATATTTAACGTCAGGCATAGGGACTGCTTCCGCAGCTACAACTGGCTCCTGGAGGTAATTCAGAGGCATTGACAAAAAGGTGATAAGGAAATTAGCTAAAGTGAAAGATAGAGATTTTCTTCATCTACATGTAGTGTGTTCTTTATCCTCTGCAAACAGCTGAGAATGAATTTTGTTCAGAGCCTTTGACTCATTTGCTAAGAAAATGTCTTACTTATGCAATATGAAATACTTGAATATGGAACAGTTCAATTCCCAATGCTGATAAAGCAAATATTTTAAATGGAAAGAAATAAGCTTGTGTGCAGATTCCAGCATTATGGTCAATTTCATAACCCAAGCCTACTGTAAATGATGACGCAATGGAATTTTCTATTGCTATGGTTATTTAAAATAGATTGTAAGCCTACTCTGAATATATTTTATGATATATTTAAATATATTTAGGCTTTATCTCTGTTAGCAAAACCCAAACTGTATTTTTGTAAGCTGATTATGCTCAGCAGTATTAGGATATATAATTTGCATGTGATAAAATGCACAGATGCCTGTTGACAAGTCAGTCTTTAAAATGAGATCTTTTGATTTGAAATAAAGAAATTTACATATAAAAAGAAAGAAGTTTCAAATCTACTGAAATTAGACATCTTGAAAAAGCATGTGCTCTTTTTCTGTATGTTCTCTTTTCTATAGTGTATAAAATCCTATCTATGATAAAATACGTTTTAAGAGGAACCATTATGTCTAACAGAATTATTCTTTTATATACAAAATAATATTTACATTTGCTCAATTTTTAAGTTTTATTTATTTTAAAAATTTATTTATTTTCTTTGTTTTGTTTTTGTTTTCAATCTTCACTCAAGGACATGGTTTTCATTGCTTTGAGAGAGAGAGAGAGGGGAAGAAAGACGGGGGAGACAGGGAAGGAGGGAGGGGGGAGAGGGAGAGAGAGAAACACTGATGTGAGAGAGAAACATCTATTGATTGACTGCTGCAAACACACTGACCAAGGATGGAACCTGCAACCTGGGTATGTGCCCTGGCTGGGAATTGAATCTGTGACCCTTTGGTGCACAGGACTATGCTCCAACCAACTGAGCCACACTGGCCAGGGCTTACTTGATTTTTTAAGTAAGAATTTAAAAGACAATTATGTGATGTTTGTTTAACTAAGCCTCAGGATAAAGATCATATAATTAATCATCAAAATGCCATAAAACTATTAATTTGTCTATTTGACATAATACAGTATTTTTAGTATCATTTAAAAATGCCTAATGTTGATATGCAACATAAACATTATAAAAAATTGTAAAAGCATTTCCTTGTAATTATACAACGGATTTCTAAATTAAACTTTCTCCATGACTTCTGTGCATTCTTCAGAGTGCCACACATTAAAACAAATATATTCAATCCTCAATATTTATTTACTTGGCTTTAGTTTTTAGTTATGATCATCATATGCAGAAATTTAATGGAGTATTTATAGGCATTTAGACCGACAAAAACGGCATCACCCTTTTACGGATAATGTAGCTTGGATAAAAAAGCCTTACATTTTGGTTTAAAGTTACATACTATGCATATACTACTAGAACATAAATTGAAAGCATACTATATGGGTAAACATTGATGAATGAGAACCTCGACTGGCTGCCTCCCACATGTTCCCCACTGGGCATGTGCCCCGACCGGGAACCAAACTGGCAATCTTCTGGTGCATGGGTCGATGTTCAGTCATACTTTATCAAAGCTCCCTCCTCCTATTTCTTTAAATCTTAGGACTGATTGGAAGAAAAAACCTATTCCTCAGTCCTATATCTTGATATTCTATTAAATATTT